TAGAAAGTTGAGATGAACCAATACAGTAATGAGAATGCTACTATAGTTTTTGTGAAGGATCAAACAAGGAGTTCATTACTTAAAAACATAACATGTACATTACACTGTTGTAGGTGTTTTTAAGTCTGGTAAGTCATTAAGCAAAGTAGGCAAACGATAAGCAGGTGGGCATACCAAAGGGACACAAACTTCATCAAAGGACCTTGCTGTCACAAAACATCAGCTACCCAATTTACATTCTCCATGCTTAAATTTCAGGCGACAGTTCAAGCCCTGACAGTCCATGATCAGATTCTTAGTCTTGTGTCCTGCTTATGGAGGCCTGCGCATATAATTCACAGTTTCCTGAGAATCGGATTGATGGTCAAGAAGGAAATATTGACATTTCTTTTTTTTGTGATGAATGCTACGTATACAGGAAAGAGATTTCCAAAGCTGATTCAGCGATATGCATCAGGTCTATGTGTGCAAGCATTTAGTAAGGTGGCTGGATGTGGAAATGCAATAGCCAAAAAACTAATAAACTTCTGATAACTGTAGCTGAGTTAAGCATTTCCCTAAGAGCTAGAAACAGCAATTCTGTTGTACAAAGCCAATAGTCCTAGGAATTGGAACAAATGAAAACTGGGGGGGGGAACTGCCATTTTATCTCTATGAGTAGGCAATTTCAACAGTAATTTCTTTCTCTATGATGTTTAAACGCGAACGACTCACAAGTCACAACAAGCACCATTAAGAGCACTCTTTTTTGAGGAGGCCATACAATGAACTCAAAGAAAGAGAGCAGCAAAACTGATACATTGTTGTTGGATTATTTCCTGGTTGTTCATTAATATTTTGCCCGTTTCCAGTACAACTATTTCTTTCCATTTCATTTCATAATTTCTTGCCATAATCCTTTTGGGGTGAGGCAATGAGGACTGCGGTCGATTTAATTAATCTTTCTCCATCAGTTCCTCTCGATGGTGACATCCCAGAGAGAGTATAGACGAAAAAAATGTATCCTTTAAGTACTTGAGAGTTTTTTGTTGTCGGGCATTTATTCATATTCCCAAAGATGAGAGGTCAAAACTTGATGTAAAATCAAAACAATGCATTTTCTTGGGTTATGAACATGAAAATTTTGAGTATAAGTTGTATGATCCTATTGATAAGAAGGTGATCAGAGGCAGAGATGTTGTCTTTTTTGAAGATCAAATCATTGAAGATATTGATAAAGGTGATAATTCAAAATCTTCAGATGACATTCTTGCTAGCTCAAATTCAGATCCAAATCCAATACCAGTACCTGTTGATTTTAATCAATGGGGAGCTGAGACAGAGTAAAGAGAGGATGTTAATGATGATGATAATCCCACTGCTGATGAACCTGAGTACGAAGCACCACCTACTCCACCACTACCACCACAAGATGAGTTTAGGAGATCTACCAAAGAGAAAAGACTTTTTAGCAGATATAATCTTCATGAATATATGTTGTTGACAGATGGAGGAGAGCCCGAGTCTTACAGTGAGGCTCTAGAACATGATAATAAAGAAAACTGGTTGCGAGCCATGCAAGAGAAAATGGTGTTCTTGCATGAGAATCATACTTATGATTTAGTGAAACTACCTAAGGGTAAAAGAGTTTTGAAGAACAAATGGGTTTATAGGTTGAAAACTCAAGAGCACACCTCACAACAAAAGTATAAAGCAAGATTGGTTATAAAGGAATTTAGTCAAAAGAAAGGTATAGATTTTGAAAAAATCTTCTCTCATGTAGTAAAAATGTCATCAATTCGAGTTGTTCTTAGTATTACAGCTAGTTTGAATTTGAAAATCGAATAACTTGATGTGAAGACAGCCTTCCTGCATGACGACTTGGAAGAGGAGATCTACACGGAGCAAGCGGAGAGGTTCAAAGAAAGTGGTAAGAAAAATCTTGTATGCCGTCTCAAGAAGAGCTTGTATGAATTGAAATAGGCACCGAGGCAGTGGTATAAGAAATTTGATTCTTTCATGACAGACCATGGGTATCACAGGACTACATCTAATCACTGTGTTGATGTGAAAAAATTTTTAGATAGTGATTTTGTTATTTTCTTACTATATATTGATGACATGTTGATTGTTGGTCGTGATACTGTGAAAATTGACATGTTGAAAAAGAAGTTAAATAAATCATTTGCAATGAAGGAATTGGGTCCGGCTAGACAGATAGTGGGGATGAAAATCTCACGTGATAGGCAAAATGAGAAGTTCTGATTGTCTCAAGAAAAATACATTGAGAAAGTATTTAACAGGTTTAACATGAGCAAGGCTAAGGAAGTCTCAACTCCACTTGCAGGCCACTTTAAATTGAATATCAAGTAGTGTCCTACAAGTGAGAAAGATAAAGAAAACATGAAGAATGTTCTTATGTTTCAGCCGTTGGTAGCTTAATGTAAGTTATGATTTGCACTAAGCCAGATATTGCTCATGCAGTTGGAGTGGTCAGTCGGTATCTTTCTAATCCTGGTAAGAAGCATTGGAATGCTGTCAAATGGATTCTCAGGTATCTCAAGGGAATTCCTAGATTGTGTCTATGTTTCGGTAATGGTAAAACTATACTAGATGGCTACACTGATGCAGATATGGCAGGTGATCTTGATAGTAGGAAAGCCACATCTGGATACTTGATGATTTTTGCAGGGGGCAGTGTTATGGCAAAGTAAGTTACAGAAATGTATTGCCCTTTCTAGTACGGAGACATAGTATATTGCAACCACTGAAGCATGCAAGAAAACTCTTTGATTGCAGAAATTCCTTCAAGAGTTGGGTATGAAACAAGAGAAGTATAGTCTTTACTATGACAGTCAGAGCGCTATTCATTTGTGTATGAACTCTACATTTCACTGTCGATCCAAACACATTGATGTGAGGTATCATTGGATTCGAAAAGTGTTAGATTCCAAGTTGTTGACACTTGAGAAGGTGCATACAGATGATAATGGTGCTGAAATGATGACCAAGACATTGCCTAAAAAGAAACTCTTGTTTTGCAAACAAGAAACAGGTTTAATGGAACCCCCCAAATGAGTTGGAGGGGGAGATTGTTGGGTGTGGGCCAACCCATTTGTGCATGAAAGCAATGCTTGAGGGTATCTCAAGCTTAAATACAAGGAGCAGCCGCACGTTGCATTGAAGCTTTCGGTCCTTGCATGCGAGAAAAAGGACAGCCACCATCGAAGAGAGAGAAAATAGCAGAGAGAGAGAAACAACTTTAAAACCTCAATTGAAAGGTGATTTGAAGTCCAATTGAGACGAAATTTTACACACGGGATCCTCTCATCAAACTCTACTCATCTACTGATTCAAATTTCGAAATTTCTCTTCGTTTGATAACAGATTTTCAAACCCACTTCTTTGACAGTTATAGTTTTGGAGGGTGATTTTATAGCAGATTTGCTTGGTTGATATTGGTGCTATTATTGTCATCCGAATATTTCGGATAGATCCGTGTATTTTCATTATTGTGATAGTGGAGATTTTTTAATTAGACTAGATCCCGTGATTTTTTTCAATTTAGGTTTTTCACGTAAAAATCTTGGTGTCCTATGCCTTTATTTTTTCTTGCATTTTATTATCACTATTGGTGTTATTATTTGATGATTTGATTTATTCCTATTTTAACTGGTACTTGGGGAAAGAGAAATTTATCTTGAGCTAATTCTGATATTGTGTACCTGTACTGGTATCTCTTTCCCAACATATAATGATAAAAGTATATACACTATTAGTATATAGAATATTAATCCTTAAAAAAAGTGTCATTATTTGTTTTATCAAATATACTGTTTTAATATTTACTATTATCTATCCACATTACATCTATTAAACTTCTCATCCCCACGTAACTATAAGTACAATAAACACATACAAAGACATGTATATACCCTCCTCACCCCAAGCCTAAAGAAACTTCTAACGCTACAATAATTGCCAACAACTTTTTATCAAAAAAAACAAAAAACAAAATTCGTCAATCCATATTCCTAAAACATAACCTCCTACAACTACTAAAAAGTTTAATATATGTTTTAAAAAATTTTCCTTTAAGATTTACACACATATAGGGTGTGCCATTCCAACTAATTTATTTATTATATATAAAAGAAGAGGAGGGAATTTACTGTAAAGATTTTGTTATCACTTTATGTCATTTCATATTTTCCAACGTAACGATCACATTGTCAAATCAATTTTAAAAAAATAAAGTTTGCGTTAATAATAGAAGACTTATACAAACTTCATTCACTATAAATATTTTCGAGCGTTCATTTATATTTGGGATAATTGTAGAAACCTCCCCTGAGATTTCTGACATTTGATCTGACATTTCTTGTAGTTTGAAAAATTACACTGACCTCCCCTGAGGTTACTAATCCTTTGCAAATTCAGCCCAAAGAATTAAAATATTGTTTTAGGAAGTGAAATTAGAATTTTTTACCAAATTTGTCCTTTGTACTACATGTCCAATGAATGACAAAATGCTATAAATTTGCCTATAAATAGGTAATGCGTATTTGCCTATAAATTATACTCTTTAAAGTTTATTAATTGTTAATTGATTTATAATATTTTGTCATTCATTAGACATGTAATACATATGAAAAATTTGGTAAAAAATTCTAATTTCACTCCCTAAAATAATATTTTAATCGTTTGGACTGAATTTGCAAAGAATTAGTAACTTCAGGGGAGGTTAGTATAATTTTTCAAATCATAGGGAGGTCAGTGCAAATATCAGAAACCTCGAGGGAGGTTTCTGCTATTATCCCTTTATATTTATCAGTGATGCTAATCATGGTCCGATCACCTCGCTCTTGCCCAGATTTTACGAGAATGAAAGATAAATCACAATTTCAGACGGTAACTAGGTAAATTTGAACTATTCATGGGAGCCTAATCTGAGCTTAAATTTCAGATAAAAAGAACGGCAAGAAACAAACCCAGAGCACCATCAATTAATTCTCCATGCATAAACACAAAATTGCGGATCATTTAACCTCAGGATTAACAATCAACAAATATTTACACACACACACACACACACAAAACTATTCTTGCATCATCATCATCACATCTGAAGCAAAGTAAAAAGCAAATCAGAAAGTGTATTTGTTATTAATTATATACAATTAGATGAGTCATCATCTAATTAATTACAATCATCTCTGCTTAAGAGAGAGATTATTGGATGGTGAGGCGCCTGGCGCAGATGGTGCAGAAATACTTGCGTTTGGCCTTGAAGTAAAGAGGGACAAAGCAGAATCGCCATTCTTTCTCCACATCCAGGGCTTGAACCATCCCACCGCAGTATGGGCACGCCCCTGGTGCTATTTGCCTTGCCAGAACTCTTTCATCTTCATCACAGACGAATACCAAGCACATCTCTTCTCTGATCTAGCTCTCCTGTTCCGAATTGAAAGATCAATTTCTTCAAGACTGCGTTCGATAGTTGACCGGAAATTCGCTGGTTTTGGAGGAATGCTATAGCCTATAGGGGAAGAAGTTAGTTTTAAGTATTTTATAGAGAAGGAAGACGCGGGCGGAGGTGGGCCGGGGACACGGTGGCGGTGATGGGAATGGAATCTAGATTAGGGTGGTGGGGTCGAGAATTCAAGGATGCTGAAGGAAAGAAACTGCTGGATAAGTTTGGAACATTCCAAATTCCAAATTCCAAATCCTTCGCGGTGAAGAAATAGGAGTAATTTACATTTTGTACGAAGAAGCAAAAAACCTTGCCTTGTTTGGAAAGCCAGTTTTCATCAAAAATTTTTTATGTTTTTCGTATACACATTTCTCAATTATTTTTTTATCTCACATATATCAAATTATTACAATATATTTTCTATAAAAACTCCAAAAAAAATTACAATCTAAACAAGGTAAAATTATTTGCAATCCATTTTTTTGTTATTTTCACACTCAGCATTTGTTTATTATATAGTGTAATAAATAAAAATATTATAATTAAAAAAATAGAAGTGCAGATAACGTCTTTCAATATAAATTATCAGACCATAGAACATATCAAATAAATCTACAACTTTAAAATGGTGGATTAATGTCAAATGTAAGAGTTAGGACATAATTTAATCTGATTATGGTAAGAAACAAGGCCATTTATACAGGACATAATTTGGTCTGATTTATGGTAAGAGAAAAGGCTAGCTGTAAGAGATTGTTCTCAGCACAACGGATTTTTGCTTTTCCCCTTTATCATAAGGGTCCGTAGTCATTAATCATTGTCACTAGCCCATTGACAGAAATGAATACACGATTTCAATAGTCAAACATGATAAAGTGGAAGAATTATGGTGATGATAGAAGCCCAAATGGGCAGTCCTTTATTCTTTTTTTCTTCTTTTTTTTTTTTTAGATTGCTGTTTTTGGGTCTGGTGAGTAGATGGGAGTTTCAATTACCAAATTCAATTATCATTACCTTTTATCTGAATTGACCAGTTGTTTACAACATTTTTCAGCAGAGCAGTAAACCTCAGTCCCTTGAATAGAGCAAGTTAAAGTCTGATATCTATTCGCTCAGACATTCTCATTATATCAGAGTAAACTTTGTCACCTCCCAACCCTGCACCAGAAGCCCCTGCTGCGACCCGCAGAACATCCTCAATGAAGGCCACATTGCCCATTATAGCGACATGTGAACCGCTTTCTAGTCCCCTGCCCTCCAGCAGACTTCTTGGTGCCTTGTGGTGGTACTCTCTTATGTAAGTAGCAATCCCAGATGGATTGAACCTTGTTCTCCCTCGCCAGCCTTTAGCACACATGAATCCCCCACTTAAAACTGGTACAGACTCGTCACCATCCCCGAAGTACACTCCACCCTTCAAGCAGCTGTTACTTCCATCTGCTGAGCCATCGATTTGAAAGGGAATGCTCTTGCACCTGTCTGTCTGGAGGTGTGAGCTTGTACACATAGGACCTTTCAGTGGGCAGTCCAGCACCGTATAGACAGTAAATCTCCATATCTGGAGCATTAGGTAACCTGAAAATTTAGAATTTCACCGAACAGTACACCACTGGAAATGAGCTTTAATCACCTCCGACGAGAGCAATTACAAGTTTTAATTTCGATGCACAGGTAAAGACTCCGAGTCGCATTCAAACTTACTTGGTTTCTAGAGGATTTGACCAGTACTTGTAATGGTTATATTTGGGGTCATCCAAGTTCTCAGCAATTCCATGGAGAATTGAGCCTCAGCACGCTGCATCAGTTTTGGAGCCACGAGGCGGAGAAGATCCATTACAGTCTCTGCTGTGTAGGCTTTGTTTTCAGCGACTCTTCTGATGCTGTCATGGCTCATCTCATTATACTCTGTCCATACCTTTCCACAAGACACACCGGCAGAGTTGGTGGAACTTCCCTGATTATATTTCAGTTGTATCATAAAGTATTAGTTGCATGTTCCATAAAAGAACAAAGTAAGATAGAAGACAATGACAAAACTTGCTTTCAAAGGTTGTGCTTGGTCGAAAGTTGAAAAATTAGTTCATTGATTCAGTCCACGTATAATAGCAACATCAGTGCCATTGCAGAATTTATCAGCACAGATTGAATCAGTGGATAAGGAGACAAGTCCCAAGATTAGAATCAGATTTGTCAATCCGATTCGGCCTCGCAAGACAATTCAAGAAAATAAATTTCAGGTAGTAAGACGTGCACAAGCATGCTTGAGGCATGCATCTCAATCAAGTACCTGTAATTAAAAACTTATACTCACGGATACATCATATGCCACCTGTATTGCAAAACTTTGTGACTCGTTTTATGATGTCTAAATAAAGGAGTCAAGATAATTTTGAAGTGGTGAAGAGAAGAACATGGTCCACGGACACTACCTTGAAAACAAGAGGAGAGAATTGTGAAGAAGGCAATTCTGATGCGTTCTTTCCAAAAGATACAATCCTGCCATACTTTGTCAGCTCTTTTACATGGAAAGCCCTTCTGGAGTCACTGTTGTTGCCCTTATCGTCACTTGCAGAGGCTTGCAGCTGCCTTTTCTTCAACGAATCACATACATGTCCTTCTTCAGGTGACCAATCTAGGTTACCCCAGATAGTCTCTCCCCCTTTAGGTAACAAAGAAATGACTGAATCCCATGTTCGACCAACCCTCATAGCATGTTCCAGTGTCTGAAGGCCAAGAGTCTTAGAACTAAAAAGACCAGGTGCCATTGCTCTGCAAAATCAGGTTAAGAATTAGCTAACCACAATGACTGAAAATGACGGTTAACGAAACATGCCTTTCATTAATCTGATTCTCTTTTTAGTTTTTGCTCCTCAGAAAAGTTGTAATCATTACTTGTGTAGTAGTACCATATATCAGTAGCAACCAAGGCTCTTTCCTTTCGCTTAGCAAGTGCCAGTTTTTTATTTTTCTTTGTAGTATAGAATTAATAGCTTCGCATCAGTAGATTCATTTCCATTTTAATCTAACTTCACTGTAGATCCTTGTCTTGTTTTTTTCTAAAAATTCACTTTACTGAAAATTAAAATGCCTAAAATTGCTCCCAAACAGCCTTGGATGAGGCAAGAAGACCAACCTGAGAAATGCAACATCTTTGCTCTCCGCAGACAATAAGCTGCCAACAGCCTTGGGAACACAAGAAATGCTGGACCAATATTCATTATGGCTTTGACATGCTTGTTGCACCAATCAGGGCCACCACCTCCTCCCATAGGGGGAGGGGCTTCGACCCATTTAAGGAAATGCAGAAAATATATGACCCCCATGGAATGAGGCACCACTACCACCTTTTTTCGGCCATTTGTTAAATACATAAGCTCAATTTGGCTCTTTAATCTACTAAGAGTTTGGTCCCTGATCTGCTTACAGGCAATCATAAACTAATCAGAGAAAGCTCAATTACATTCAGCTCTTCACACTTTATCAGAAATCATGGACCTGTTACTGTAACAGCTTTAAAACGTATTTGCAGAAAATCAACCTAGGAGGGTCGTTGGCTGCTAACTCAAAAGCCGCATAATGAACAGTCCTAAATGATATATATTAGAAAGCCCTTTGACAACAGTAAAAAAAACATGTCCATGCAGACGGGCTACAGAATTTGCATCATAGCTCTATTTATTGCTACTAATTCGTCTAGTATGGGACAAGAAGGCATACGGGTAATAATAAATAAGGCTTCGCGTCTAACTATTTTCCGAGTGTTACTAATATATTTTCGGGTGCAGCATTAAAAGGCATTAGTTCTGCACCAGCATCGCCCCTTCAATGATTTATGACAGTACTCCAGAGAATAAAGTATTACACAAATGCTTTAAATTTGTATAATGATTGATGAACATACTATCGGACTGCTAGAGACCAAAACAGGGAACAACTTTAGTCTAGAAATATCTGTCCAAAATATCATTGAGAATGACTAATTGAGGAAAATAGTACCTCAGTATTCTGAAAGGATAGCCTCCAATCATAAGCAGCCATGAACATATTCTTACCCTCATAGCCAATTTTTGCCAAATTCTCGATTAGGTTAGCCCAAACAAAATAACCAGGAGCAAAATAGTCAGCTGCAACCAGTCCTGCAACAGCACGAACTCGAATTCCAGGAGGATCAAGCCCTGTTTCATTGTCCAAAGAGAGATGCTCCAACAAACATAAAGGCCTAAATTTCACAACAAATTCCCAGAACTGAGTGTCATTACCTCAATGTAACTTTCAAAAACCTCTAAAACTAAAACAAACAGAAATTCCGAAATGCGACTCAAACCTCTTGAATATTTCAGCAAAGTTACCGCCCCAAAGCCGCTTCCTAAACAGGCCTTCAGAGCAAGGCTTCCCTTCCCAGAGTTCAAGGCCTCCTGTAACAATCCCAGGCACCAAAACAACAGGGTGGAGAGCTGTCAAGCCTTCTCGTCTGAGTCTAGCACCAGGAGGTTCAGGCACTTTTAGCCCAGGCAAATTAGCAGTTAAGCAATTGAATGAAAACAGGATCAGCCACCAAGTAGTGCAAATGTATCCAATCATCCGACAAATTTATCTATACATCTCCATTGCTTTGGCTGCCTCTTATTCTTTTTCACTTGTGGCTTCTCAGAAACTTGTTCAACTGCGGAAATTGGACTGTCCTCTTTCTTTCCTGCCTCAGGAGCATCATGTGATTCGTAGCTCACTGGAGAACACTTGACAGGCACTAAAATGCACAGCTTCCTGAACCGAAGAATTGAAGCCATTGTACCAAAATTGGAATAACGAAAAATTTACACTCAGTTTACGCTCACTGACAGTCGAAAATTGATTGATCTAGAGGACATTTTATTGTCTCCGAAAACTTGCCAGAATAGCTTTGTAGAAAAATATCATGTCATTTTTCTTGGGACAAGAATTGGAGAATGAGAGCATCAATTTGAGTGAAATTGATGGAAAATTTTGAAGAGATCAAGAACATCGCACAAGGTACAATGAGAGCTGGACGTGAAGATTGAGGTCAAAGAAAAGTAAATAGGCGGCGCTACGGAACCACGAAACACGTGGTGGAAGCAAAACATAGAGGTGTCAAGCAGGGAGACAAGGGAAAAAAATACCAAAAATCTCATTAATCTTCTTCTTAAATTTTAGAAGTAAATGAAAATGCGGTCTGGGACTCTACTTTTTAACTTGTTGCGGTGCGATGGAACCAGAGGACTCATCACGTAGTTGCTCAGAAGGACACTTGTCTTGGTATTTGCATGCAAAAAAAAACTCTACAACCTCGTGTCAACGGCACTCTTTGGTTTTTATATTGCCCTCTTTCACGTGGGAGATTTCTCGGGCTAGCGAGAGCTGGAAGGGGTGGTCAGGCGGGGGCTGAGGAATGAGTGCATAAAATGGAAAGAAATTTTATGGGTTCCGTCTGAAACAGTAAGTCCAGAGGTATGGAGACGGCTGAGGCGAAAGCTACTTGTGGTCACTGTTCACTGTTGGAAGTGAAGAATAACAGTGAAGATTGAATTATTATGTGTTTCACAGGGAGAAAAGAATCCAAGCGAAGCAGTATTACTAGTGTTATTACTTACGACTATTAGCAGTTTGGACTTGCGACACCCTCAATCATCGGAAATCATAGCACACACTACGAAAAACACAGAATCCCAGACCGTCAATGTAGTGTGGGATGGCGTGGACCTGAAAGCTGAAAGCCCAATAGAGAATGTCACAATGTTACATATTCAGACAAGCAAGTTTGATGGCTGCCTATGCAATATTACTGTGTAGACGAATAGGAATAAACATTTAATTCTTCCTTGGAAAGAAATGATTTTTGGGCACAATGTTCAAGAAAAGATGGGGGATACAGGGTGACCATGTCGTTTCTTTTTTGTGCAGCTGATTTCCGGGAAGCAGCAATGGTTTTGCTGGAAAAGAACAGTGTGAAATGTGATGAAGAAAGGGACTTTGTGGATTGGAATTTACGGCCGGAAAATGTATGTTATTAACAACCTCTCTGTCAACATCGTAAGAAAATTGCAGAAAAACATGTTACCAAAAATTTTTGGTCTGAACTTTCTGCTTCATCATTAGCCTTTTCACAATTGCTTTTTGTTGTATCGATCATGGTCCCCAACATTTAATGGACCTTTTCAGATTTAGAAGACATAGAATTATCAGTAGCCAATAAGCTACAGGCAAAAATTGATTGGATTAGTTCAGAGTTTGTGATTCTTTTACTAGGATAATTAATGTTGTCTTCATTGTTTTTGGCAGATCAGCAGGATTGTACTTGATTACTAGAAGGATTCCAATATAATGTGGAAGCACTGCCTCCTAGTTTTGTACTTAAGGTGAATTTTGGCAGATACATAAATGGTACGGTTGGTTCTAGCAATGTATAGAATATGCATTTTTTCCTTGCAGTGGAAAGAATTTAGGTTGCATTATGGTACAAGACTGTACACGTTAGAGAATATTTTTATGTCTAGAACACCTAGGATTCTGAATCAACCAACCAAGTGAAGCTTTACAGCATAGAAGACATCGTCTTCTGTACCCGATAAGAAAGCACTATAAGCAATTACAATATCATATCCCCAATCAGGCTTTGGCAATCAAGCTGTGCAGAATGACTCTGATGAATGGGGGTAAAAGTCAAAATCAGGCTTTTGAATTGGGTAGAATTTAAAAGATACTTAAGTGGAGTAAAAATTGTGGATTTTTATTGTTCTATGGTATAAGAATTAAGAATGATGGGGCAAGTGTAAAAGATCTCAAGTTCAAGATTTAATACGACGATGTTAATTCTTGTTCCACAACACGGATTTTCTATTCCTACTTCGGGATAATTTCAAAGACCTCCCTGAGGTTTCATGAAATATCACTTATCTCTCTTGAGATTTTAAATATCTCACTTATCATTCATTGAATTGACATTTTGGTAACATTGTCGACCCTTCTAATCAAAAGTAATATTAGAAAATTCATGTCTGAGGAGAGAGACTATTTTAGTGCCCTTAATACCCTTAGACTATAAAAAGTGAACATTTTACAAACCAAGAAAAAAAGTACTAAATTGGAACCATCTTAAAAGTGAGGGGATGAAAGTCGATACAAATTTATGTTATAACCGATAGTCACTTCCATAAAAAAGAGAGATAGTAAAAGCAAATATTATTCTTTAAACCAAATTTATAAAATAAAACCCCTATAGTATTGAAAGCAATTGGCATGTAAAACTCATACATTTGAGCAATAGATGAAATTCAACTTCAATATTATACATAATTTACTTAAAATAGATTGACTTTTTTATGGGTGTAAAGATGAAAATTGTATTACAAAAGAAAAAGTCAGAATTGAAAAACTACAGAGTTTGGAGCTTCAATTACTTCATTCTCTCGCGTTCTACATGAATAGGAACAAATAAATAAATAGATAAATATAACTATGAAAACAAAAAAAGGAAGAAAAAAAAAGAACCTGCAGCTATTTTTCTCCAAATGTACTTGAATATTTCATTGATTAAATCCTATATTTCATTACATTTGCAATTCATATATATATATACACACACACACATTCTTAAAGAAAAGCACGAAATTTAGAGAAAGAAAAACAAGTTTAGAAATTTTAAGTATGAGGGTATTATTAATAATTCTTCACCTTTGATAGTCACATATGGTTCCACTGTCACTTTAAGCGCGCTAAGCAAGATTTTGAAAATCTCAGGAGAGCTAGATGATATTTCATGAAATCTTAAGAACGATTTCTAAAATTATCCCTCCTATCTTCATATTAGAGCCAAAAAAAAATTTTTTTTTTTTGGTAACTTGAAAAATCATGTCAAGAATCGTGTTGAAACTAAATCATGGCCCTCATGATCTTAACATATACTCATCATTCGTTGTAAACTTATCAAACTGTTTTTTTTGAAAAAAAAAAAAAAAAAATCAGTTGGGACTTTTGGTTTCCGATTTATTTAGCATCAGCTTTGACTAGCCAAACACGGTTTGCTTCAACTTACGTAGCTAATGAGTCGAATGCTTGCGAAATTCCATATTTTGGCAATTTGATCAAGTGGTTGCAAAGTTTGTCCTTTCTCTCTTTGCACCGAACATTAACCCCGATTTAGAAATAAGACATCAGCAAATTGACATGCTACCATGAGTTGCATAGCTCATTAGCGACTGCGGTTACTGCATAAGCAAATTTCTTATTTGTTTCTAAAAAAAGTAACTCTTGGAATACTTTTCTCTTTGATTATTCTCTATGTGAAATGAAATGTCAGTTGGAGGTAATTATTTACGGAGAAGCATGAAAGTCCTGCGCACAATTAGGAAGCAGTACAAAGACTGTCAATCGAATCTGACCAAATGTCAGAACATTTGTCATCCCTATTAAACTTTAATGTGTTGCAGGATCATTTTGACGATGTCATTCATAATATATACCTATTGCTAGAATATTCGAGGAAATTTTGGGTGCATATCAGTTAGGTGTTCTTGGGAGTTTTTCAAATGTTACGCTATAACTTGTATATGAAAAAACTTTTTATTGTATATGTACGGGAGTTTTTATGAAAATTTAAATTTTATTAGTACATTTTTAAAAAATTTTCAATTTCTTCTTCCACTCCAATCCACCACACATCGCCACCCCTCCCATCCTTCCTTTTATATCATTGCCACCTTCTTCTCCCCTCCCTCTCCCCTCTTTTTTCTTCGCTCCCCTCCTCTAGTCACCGATGGCAACCAAATCCGACAACCAAAGGGGAGGGGATTACGGAGAAGGGGAAAAGGAAGGGAGTGAAGGAAGAGGAAGCTAGGAAAAATAGGAGGGACAGGGAAGTGGGTTGTGGCAATGGAGAAGAGAGGAGAGGAGTGGTGATGGGTGGTGCGTGGTAGATGAAAGAAGAAAGCGGTGCTAAAATTTTTTTTTGTGTGTGTGTATGTGTATTTATTTATTAGGTGTATTTGAAAAAATTGACATGCTTTTGAAGTATTTTTGGAGCGTCAATGTGAACTCCAAAAACAAAAACTAGTATACCAAAGAAGGGGCAATCCATACGCACCTTTTAGCTCTTAGCAACAAAATGTCAAAAATCTTTATTCATTTAGTCCAGCTTAGGCCTTTAGGCCCAAATTTGAGGCTTTATACTATGAGAACCAGGTCCAATTTAGTGATGTGGAAGCCCGTAACGAAAGGCATACAGTTAGGCGTTAGCCCCAATTTTTTGACCCGTCACAAAGCCCAAACACTGTGAAATCAAATCTATGGACATTTCTATATGATCTGCATCTAAGTACATATTCTTGAAGCAATAATCAAGCGTACGGTGTATGCTCCCACTAGTCTCAGATCCTAAATGTATGTCGCCGTTGATGTTGTCAATTGGTAATGACCTATGCTAGCATCTTCGAGGCAAATGGGCTACCACTAGGATAACTGGTGTAATCCTACTGCAAGATCAATGATAGAAATTGGACTATTCTAAGTTCTTATGAATGAGATTAAGGCATTGTTCTCACCTGTTTTAGATTTTGCAAAATTTAATTTATGAAAAGTGATTACAAAGAATAATCAGAATCGATAAAAGTTATTCTTTAGCTGATTATGAATTTTAACATTTTTAGCTATTAAAAGACTATAATCTAGATAGAATAGCAAATGAGAACATCATCAACAACTGATTGTTCATAATCAGAATCTATAATCAGCAAAAATAATTAACTAAGAACAGGTCTTGAATGTGGGATACAGTTTTTCAATATATCTTCGTGTAGTCTCGATTAAACATATTGATCATAATGAAATTTTATACATCGAATCTAGGGTTGCAAATAAATCAAACCACTCACTAGTCGACTCAATTATACACACACACACACACACACACACACACATATATATATATATATATATATATATATATATATATGTATATGTGTATATATGTATATGTATAATTTTAATAGTGAAATAACATATATACTCCTAATATTTTTGTTATTTATTAAGAAAAATTCATTGTTCTAAATAATAAATAATTATTTTTTTATTTTTTTATTTTTTAAAACTTGAGTAGGCTCGAGCTCAAGTTCGACTAGATTTAAACTTCAGATCAAGTTCGATTTCGAGTTTTACATTGAAAGTTCATCAAGATTGAACTCAATTTCAAGCTTGATAAATTTGAGTTAAAACACTGCTCGATTAGATTAAAACTCGAATCGATTCAGTTCATTTGCAACTCTTGATTCGAAATCATAACATTCGGTGACCAAACAAACAGGACAATATGATAATGGAATTGGGATGCCTTGTATTAATACTCGAAATGTAAACAGCTAATGATTTTCGCCTGGTTCAGCCAATTTTCCAACTTGAAACTAGACCTTAGAAGTTAGAACTTAGAATTGCCATCCATGCTTGATTACAT